CAACAACAACAACAACAACAACAACAACAACAACAACAACAACAACAACAACAACAACAACAACGCCAACAACAACAACAACAACAACAACAACAACAACAACAACAACAACAACAACAACAACAACAACAACAACAACAACACCACCAACACCACCACCACAACAACAACAACAACAACAACAACAACAACAACAACAACAACAACAACAACAACAACAGCAACAGCAACAGCAACAGCAACAGCAACAGCAACAGCAACAGCAACAGCAACAGCAACAGCAACAGCAACAGCAACAACGGCAACGGCAACGGCAACGGCAACGGCAACGGCAACGGCAACGGCAACGGCAACGGCAACCGCAACAGCAACAGCAACAACAACAACAACAACAACAACGACAACAGCAACCGCAGCAGCAGCTGCAGCAGCAACAACAACCAACACAACACACACACACACACACACACAACAAACACAACCTCAACTTAACCACAACCAAAACCACAATCAGAACCACAACCGCGACAGCGACAACGAAAACGACAACGAAAACGACAACAACAACATTGCAGCAACAGCAGTGAATAGTTTAATGCGGCGTGCGATTTTAGGCACGTGCGTTTCGGCCCACGTTGTTTAACCCCGCGTAGGAGAAATCTGTAGCGTGGCGTAAAGGATCGTGGAGCAATTTGTGGGAGAGCAGGAAAACAGTATCGAGCTGATTGTGTGTGTCTGCGGTTTCTATTCGGAATTGCGTTTACATGCATGAAAGTTGGTTGGGTAGTGGCTGCGTGGGATTTGAAAGAGTGACCGTTGTGTGAGTGAGATGTTGTATAACCGATTGCGGTTCAAGACTTCCTGCTCTATTCGCTTTTCTTCGCGCAGGGGTTTGGAGAGAGATAGGTTGGGCTCTTTGCAGGGCTGAGGCCCTGCTTGTTTGCTCGCACCCCTCGGACTGCGTGCGCGACGGAGCCTCGCCTCTTGGATCTACTCTCCGCTTTGCCCGTGGCAGCCGCGCCTTCCTTGAAGGCATTGGCGTCGAGACGCGAGCTGCGACGAAGCTGAGGCCAGCCTTCTGCGCTGAGGACACTTTGGCCACATGGGCCCTGCTTTTCAGAGCCTCTGGAGCATCACCTCCCACAAGTCTGCAAGGGTGCTGGACGCAGGATGAGAGGCCAAGCAAATCTGCTCGGGGTTCTTTTCCGTCCTTTGAGACTGTCGTCTGGAGGAATTGGGTTCCAAAGCTTGACAGGACCCGGTGTAGCGCCAGACACCTTGGCTGCCTTGCTAGGAGCTTCAGGCCATTGTGACAGCTGGGGTCGGCCGCTACCGGCGCCACGCCGAAAATATAATAACTTACTCGAACACGGCAACGCGCAAAGTTATACCCTCTGTTCACGCAACAAGCGTCAACCTTGGCGAAGTAATCAGAAAGAGCGTACGGCATTACGGGTGTCTATCAAAAATTGTCATCTTCTGACAGTTGGCCGGATGGGATATCACGCGACGGATTGGCGGATGAGTGCCTTCCTTTTCCTTCGTGTCTTCGGGTTCTCGTCGATGAGTGCATTGGGAATCGGTCAGATGAAGGCCCTGTCAGGGGCCCGAGACACGGGCCGGCTGCGCCAAAGCGCTTTGAGATGAACAGTAGCAGACCGGGGCCGCTACCGTGGTTCTACGAAGAAGAAAAAGGATATTGATAAAGCGTTGGAGTGCTGATCAGGCTGGCTACTGGGCCAGGCAGGCCCTGCCTGGCAATTTTCTTTTTCCCATTCGTGGTGGCCCCCTGTTTGGACAGCACATGTTCATCTTCAGATGTTTTCCCAAGCGGAGTATGTGCAAACGGCCATCGGTCAGATGAAGCCTGTCAGTGGCCACGGGCCTGGGAGTCATAGACATGGCCCCTGACAGAGGCTTCATCTGACTGATGGGGGGCGGGTCATAGACACATTTGGATGGAATGGAATGCATTACTCAATACCACAACCTGCTTGGTTTGCCCTGCTGACAACCCATCATCGTTGTGTGTTCCCCGTGTGTTCCCCTCGATGACAATGTCGTAAGGAGGCCACTTGGGCATCCGATCGCCCGCAACCAGATCCCGTGGCTCTATCAGGAAGAAAAGGGTCTGCGCAGTGCTCTGATAGAGCATCGCTTGGCTTTCAATTGTCCACTCAACACCCTCGCGACATGCAAAATTTAGACGTTTACATGATATACCAACTTTATGCGAAGTTCCCTAACCCCGCTCAGGAGTAATGTGTAGCATGGTATGAAGGATCGCGGCTGATTCGTGAGAGCCAGGAAAACAGTATCAAGCTGATCGCGTGTCCAAGTTTCTACTCGGAACTCCTGCGCGCTCGCTATGTGACGTGACAGCGCAACAAGGACTTTTGGGACACACATTGCTGTTCCCCCTCGATTCGGAACAACAACAACAACAACAACAACAACAACGACAACGACAACGGCAATCGCAACAACCGCAGCAACCAGAACAACTGCAACGACCGCGACAACCGCAACAGCAAGGACAAAGACAAGAACAACAAGAACAATAATAACACCATCCACAACAACAACAACAACAACAACAACAACAACAACAACAACAACAACAACAACAACAACAACAACAACAACAACAACAACAACAGCAACAGCAACAGCAACAGCAACAGCAACAGCAACAGCAACAGCAACAGCAACAGCAACAGCAACAGCAACAGCAACGGCAACGGCAACGGCAACGGCAACGGCAACGGCAACGGCAACGGCAACGGCAACGGCAACGGCAACCGCAACAGCAACAACAACAACAAGGACAACACAATAGCAACAAGGACAACAAGAACAACAACCACCAACAAACAGCACAGACAACAAAAAGAAAACAAACGACAACAAACAGCAAACAACCAACAACGACGATGACGACGACAGCAACAGCAGACGGCAACAGCAACAGCAACAGCAACAGAGGCAGCAACAACAGCCAACAACAACCAACAAGAAACAATAAGGAACAGAAACCCGCAACACAACCAACAACAAGCAACAACAAACAACAACAGTCGACAACAACCAACAGGAGTCACAACCGGCAGCAACAACAACAAGAAGGAGCTGCAGAAGAAAAAGAAGCACAAACGACAGCGACAGCGACGACGACGACAATCAAGCCAGGGCATTTCTGCAGGCACTTGGGCACAGCTAGCGTGGCTCAACTACCAAGAAGAACGCAGCAACAGCAAATGGCCGCAAAGGTTCGCCCGCGCCGGCCCCCCCTCCAACCGTCCGCAGCACATTTTTGGCCACATCGATATTGTCCAACACGAGCGATTAAAGCCCGTTTGTGCAACAGGTTCTCGCAAAGTCGCATGTGTGTGTATGTGTGTAACGCATGTGGAAAGGATGGCCACCTGCAGACGGTAAGCATTCCGCAGGAGAACCTGAGGTGGCAAATCAACAAGTGTTGGGGCCTACTGTAACTGATTGTGGCACTAAGCTTCAAATTCATGCAGGAGTCACACTCGGCGGTCAATGTGCATAGCATGCAGGCTGGGGAAAGTCTGGGAGCAAAGACGAGGCAAAGCCCAAAGCAAGGGCTGAAGCGAAGCCCAAATCTGCGCCTGAAGTGCAAAAACCTGTCTCAAGCGGCTCCGGTCGTGAAAAGAAGGCACCAGTTGCGGCTCCAGTGGCTCCAGAGCCTCAGGATTGGGAGGCTGAGGCGGACCGGGCTGAAGAGGCGGACCGGGCTGAAGAGGATGAGAAACTCGAGCCTGCCCCAGTGGAGCCCAAGGCAGTCGAAAAGCTCATGCGCACCACACACATTATAACTATACACATTCTATGCGTCCTATACATTATATACAGTGTCTTCATAATATGCATTGTATGCTTTACATCCTCCTTGTGACATATGCATAAACATAGAAATACACACACACACATATATATATATATATACACACATATATATATATACACACATATATATATATATATATATTCATATAGCGTACCGTTGTGTAACAGACTGGGGCGTGATGTGGTATGATGTGATGCGGTGTTACACGGAGTAGCGTAGTGTAACAAAGAGTGCTGCAGAGCAACATGAGCACGCTTGATGAATTTTTGGCATGCCCTGCCTTGTCTTGCTTGCACCTTGTCTATCCACGCCTTGTTCACGGCAATGCTATTGCAAAATCGGCACGCGGCTGCAATCTGCCATGGCTCGGATTCGACGTTTGGCTTGGCAACCTTGGTTTGGTTCCATTTGGCGATTATTTGGCCTTGTTCGTCCTTGTTGATCCTGGTCAGGGTGATCAACCCTTGCCCTTCGCTTGAGAGAGGTGTTAGCGCGCTCGTCCAATTGCCGTTCTACTTGCTTGGCGTTGGCAGGGTCATGGAGGCTGTAAGAAATTCGATGTTGACCGTGGCTCGTGTGGCATGTTTTTCGTATAGCCTAGCTGGTGGGATTCCAACAGAAGAAAGCTGCACAGAGGTTGGCAAGTTTATATTGTGGCCAGACCTTCTATTTGGCACTAAGGTTCCGCCAAACTCAACTTGACTTCTTGCTGTCATGTAGCTATTTTGAACATCAATTCGGGGTTCGTGTGTTCAACGTCATCCCATGTACGGCAGAAAAAATCGCTGAATATTATCCTGTGCTGACCTCATTGGTACAAGGGACCTTGGAAGTATATCTGGGTGCTGTGTTGCACCAGCTTGGCAAGTTTGTTTGAAACACCACCTGGTCGACTGGATGGCTGCATCCGTGGGCGTGCATTCATCACATACCTCTTCACAGCATCAACAACATGAGCTTGAAATCGATTCCATACCTGCGGCAAGTGCCCAGGTTGTTGACAACATGAGCCTTTTACGCCCAATTACTAAACTGGTCATGCGTGCGGCATGTCCGGCCGGCTATTTGCATTCCTATTCCAGCCACATGTTTGCCAACCATACTTGCCATGCAAGTGCTACCTCAGGTGGGAAGAACTCTGTGGGAAGCCCGGATCCTGTTTTTTTTGCTTACTTTTTGCCCGAGCTGCCCAGGCCGCAACTTCGCACCAACAAGCGATACGACCCACTGAGTTGATGCCTGCTGAGTTGAAAGAAGCATGCTTTGTCGGTTCCTGGGACCTTGATGCAGTACGGCCACGATGCACTTTGGCTCAGCTTCGGAGTTTCATCCACTGAAAGAGTTGTTTCATCCACTCAAAGCGCCTGAAACTTGACAGACAGCTGCTTGGTTTTTGTTCAATGCTTGGAACACCAATTTCCCTGACATAACAATGCACTTGACGCTCTCCATGCCAAATCGCGTGCAACATGGTGTTGTGTAAAGGGTAGGATGCCGCCAGATGCAAGGCAACGGGGGAAAGGAAACACATCTATGCAGATCCGTGTTCGCAACTTCAGGTTGCCCACCTACGCTGCAGAGTGTGTGGCTCAGTGTCGTTGCATCAGCGGTCATTGGCATCCGCTGCAGATCTGAGGTTTCTCGTGCTTTTGGCGCACGTGGAGAAGACATTGAAATCTGGCCAGCTGCAGGAGAGCTGGCATAGTTTCTAGGCAACGCGGCCAAACACATGATGAAGGATGATGGAGACCTGGACATCCAAAAGGCAAAGGTGCCTGTTTTTTTGTTGCATGTTTGCTGTGAAAATTGAGCAGCAGGTCGCCTCGTATGAAGCAGCATTGACAAGTCGGCTAGAGCTCAAAACTGAGTTGTTTTTGCGGTTTGGCAGGCATTCACGACTTGCTGCATGCAATCAATTGAGGTGTTGGCAAAATTTGTCCGAACACCAGATGGAACAGTATCGCGCAAAAATCGAACAATTAGGCCACGCTGGGGGGGGGGGGGGCAGGGCGAAACAACAATTCAGCTCATGACATGTGCAGGCAGTGCCATTGTAGTTGCTGCGGTTCAGTCAGTTACTTGGCACTGGTTATTTTTTTCAACGTTTTGCGCAGTATTCCAGTGAGGCCGAAAACGATGCTGCCACCGCCTGAAAAACCGGACGATACGATCACGGAGACTGTTACGGTCAAGGTGCTTGAATTTTGTTTGTCAAATGATTCACCTTTTCATGTAGCGGCAGGATGCCTCAAGCGCACAATTGCCAAAGATCCAGGCCAGTATTGCGATCACAAGGTTGGCACGGACGCAGCCTTCTTCAGGAACTTCTCGTGGAAAAGAAGACCCCACAGATGTTGCTACCTGAGACGATGCCCGTTTTGACACGGGTTTGACGAATGTGTACCCTTTGCACAGGCCGTGGCGGCGAACTTCAGGATTTACGTTCAATGATGGGTTGATGTACAAGCAATTTGTCACGCAGGACCGTACGTGAAGCCAAGGCAAGGCTTGTTGTCACTATGTCTGAACAAAGTAGCTACAACGTTTGGCTGGAAGGTCTTCGGCAGCTGTGAGCAATGAGGCCAGCTTGTGTGTTTGTTTTACTTTGTATTTGGGCAACTTGTTGCAGGCGTGCATGCGTTGTTGAATGCACCGAAACATCCACAGCAGGCCCGCGGCAGCTTAGAATCAGAAATGGTTGATTTGGCCGAAAACATGAAAGGTTGATGGCTCAGTTCGATCCATTTGTGTGATTGCAGTTGTTCACATGATTTTGGTTTGATTGCCAGCCTCCAAGCGGAAAGGTGCTGCGAATGCATTCTTGCAGACATTGAAGAAGGACAATGAACGATTAGAGGACTCCCCACAGTCGTTGTTGTTTCTTCCTTTTTTTCCTGTGTTCATTATTAAGCTTGCTACGCCAGCCGCCGACGATTCCTACCATCTACATTTTTGACTAGCATGCACGAACTTTCTTGTGGCCTATATGTTCGCCGTGATGTTTGGAGGACATGCAATCTGCTCAAGATCGGAGCCAGGAACTTGAAGAATGATCGCACAACATTTTGGAGCATTGATCAACGTGTCTGACCGTTCATGGTGCAATTTGTTCAACGTCACATTCATTTTCGCAACAGTTGATGGTGTCTTCATTTTGTGTTTTCCCGCCTCATTGAAAATCTTGTTTGTGGACTGCTTCGTGCTGAGACGGCTGAGGCCTGGACAATGTCATGGCCCACACAGCGAGTGGGAAGAAACTGCTCCGATCCGGTCAAATGAGTTTTTTTTGCACTTCGGATGGATTTCGTGCGATTTTGCCATGCTGGGTTTTGTTCCCACCATTCAGACCAAATCTGAAAGGCACCATGATTTTATTGGCGATCAGTGCGCAGTTCTCAGTCGAATCACTGCAACGGTAGCCTGTGATCGTACATCCATAAGGTGGTGATATTTTGTATGATGATACCGTTTATCATTTTCACCTGATCCATGCTCATTTGCACATCAGATCCGCTGGAGATACAGTATCATAGTGCGGCAAAAAAGACTCTTTCCTCGGGTGCAGACATATGCCCATCGTCATACACATTCCATCGAGCAGCCATATGCGTCATCAAGCCAAACACATTCCGTGACGCCATGCAATACATGGTTCCATAAGATGCCAATATTGCGCGCTGTGATTCTTGGAGCCTGTGTGGCGGGCAACTTCGCAGTCCCATCTCAGCTGACTGATGAAACCGGTACTGGCGGCAGTATACAAGCAACAGTGCCTATTGCGTTTGAGCAACATTCCGTGAGGATGCAGTCATCGTTGGTGTCCACTGAGATGGGCAATGCTCTCGATCGGGGAGTCACTGCGGAGCTGAACAATATTACATCTTCTGCTTCACAGGATGGACAATTTCAGACTAACCAGTCCTTCGCAGAGAATAACTCAAAGGCCAAGTGGTTGCTGTCATGATTTCTGTACACTGTTGAGATTGATGGCTAGCAGTCACATGCTGCTTACTGTCATGCAACGCTGGAGGCCTTCCAGCAGCACGCACAGTCGCTGCTTAGCTAAATCATGGAGCACTGACAATTTGTCATGAGCATGGCCAGAGCTGCAATGGTTTGTAGGAAGTGGGCATCAAAGACGAGCTCTCCTCCAAGTGAGACCTGCCCCATGTGCTGCCGAGGAATGTTGAAAGAGTCGTGCCGTGGCAGCATCTTTGAAACGTAAGCTCCGTAATGTGTGTATATTCATTTTTCGACCATTGATTCGCTGTGAATATGTGTGACTAAGGTGTCCAAGCCAACAAAGTCAAGCCAGTGATCCTTGTGCTGACCAGTCGGTGTGCACCGGCTTTCACAGGCAGGGATTTGATGACCCGTGCATGAATTGGAAATAAGTGCTCGATGATGGAAATTGCAGGTGCTTTGGAGCAAAGAGAGGTTTTGTACAGTGTCAGTACAAGCCTGGCTCAGAAGTGCGGTGCAAGACTGGACCAAATTGTTTGCCAGAGTGCACGGGGACGCAACTCGGGAAAGAAGGCGACGACTGTGCTTTGCAGCCAGCGGCCGAGTGTGAAGGGTTCGTCCGCCGAGGAGGACAGGCAACCCAATGCAAGGTGAAGAAAGGTGGAAATCCCAGCGGTGCTGATATATGTGACAATGTATACCTGTGTGGAGTTCGGTAGCGAGCTTGACGAGCAATCATACCATTGATTGCACAAAGCTATGGCGTAAGCGATGCTCGCTGGAGGGTTTGAAGCGCTATCACAGTGGCTGTGAATGCTGTGCGAAATCGGAGTGTCGGCGCGCCAAAAAGAAACGAGCGATCACTATGCCAGTGTGCGTGAGTGCACGTGTTTGTTTGCCAGTTTTTGGTCGGTGCACAGTGCTGTCCTGCGACATGATGTTCATGTCAAGGCTCAAGGAGTCTTGAGGTGATTTGGGAAATGGTATATTCATGTGTTCAGCATTGTCAGCAACTTATCAAAGGCATTTGTTTACAGCGCGATGATGCATTTGTCACGAAACAAATCGGTGGATGCACGCAAGAAATCTTGCCATAGCGATTTTGCATGGCTGTGAAGCCAGTTTTGACATCGCCATGCGTGTTTCAACCATGCGTGCTCCAAGGCATGACAAACGCAAACGCAAGTGGCCTCATATCGTGAGTGAATTCACTTCCACTTGGAGGGCTAGTTATCCGTGCCTTAACGAAGATTTGTTTGTTGGAGTTCCATTCTTTTTTGTGAAGGGTGCATTCCGGTGAATTACGAGAATTCTTGCTCTGCTGCAATGCTCATGAAAACAATGTTGAAGGCAATGCCTTTTCCTTTTGCTGGCATTGGCTGCCTGGCCTAGGCTGGAGCAGGGATGCAGCAAATGCGAGTGATCTGCAAAGAATTCAGGTGTCAAAGACGATTTTATTAATGTTAAAAAAACCGTCCCAGCACTTTTGTTTGAGTGGGTTTGTGTCGGTGGCACACTGGCTGAAGGTGGCAGGACTGCTTCGCCATGACATCTGCCCAAGGACGCACAGTCTTTGTAGCTGGTTTTTGGATGTTTGAATTGTTTTTTTCCAGCAGGTCGGCAATTTGAAGCGCAGGGGTGCTTGCGAAGCTGTGCCTGTCAGGAGACTCTGTCAGTGTAGACCGGCTTATGATTAAGGCACAGGGATGCTTTGGGTGGATTTTTTGCGAAGCAGATTATTATATTTGACACATTGCGTGTTTGTGCTCAGGTTTTGACTCCTGAAGGCCGTCAATGATTTCGATAGAATGCAGCCTCATGATTTCCTGGGTTGTTTGTGAATCATGCAGTTTGTGAATCGGCAACGCCGCGTGCACGTTTGACAGGTCTGCAATTGAAGACTGTCGTTTCAGAAATATCATTGTCCGCTCCCCGGCCTTTTCCGATTGACGCGCGTATCGTCAGTTTTTCTTGATCTACACAAGGCCAGGATTAGAAGGACGCCTGGGTATCTTGCGAGTGCGGGCCAAAGTTTGAGAGAATCAATGCTTGAGAAGCTTGATCGCCTGATGTCCAAGGGCCACATACCATTGGTGGCGCCATTGGCTTGCGGACTTCTTCGTTACAAACGGCAGGGCAAGTGGGCCAGAATCTCAGGGTCATGCAAGGTTAACTTCGATTGCTTTCAAGTCAATGTGAGGAATCAGACACCACAGCAATCGCCCAACAAAGCAGAGATATTATTTGAGACTTTGGTTTCCTGGGACTAGCTGGGAATGATACTGCTAGTTGAGCAATGCTATATTGCAAATGCACACGTCAAACACAATCATCGAATCTATTCAACATAGTGAACTGCTTAGTGGCTGGACACTTTGGCTTAGCTGAGCGGAGCTCTCAAATACCTCCCGTACAACATCGAGCTGTGGGTCTAGTGATGCAGGGCAACACCGGCTCATTGAGCATTTGGTTGAGTCACTCGAATTACTTTCGCTATAGTCAAATCTCCAAGTGTTTGACAATCGATTGACAATCGAAGCCATGGCCATAGACTCAACTCGCACTGCCTATGTTTGCCTGCATCTCTGCATGCCAACAGTGTTGATGTTGCGCCCTGTTCCGCTTTGGCTTGCCCTTTTTTCCGCCCACAATTCCTTTGTTCAGTCATCAGTCATTCAGTTTTAGGTGCCAGTGGTGCTACGAGGCGGGTATGCATCTGTCCAAGACAATGTGGTGCAATTCTCAGATTCGATAGAGGTGCGGATTTTGCGCAATGCAAGAACGAAGATGCATGCTTGGACTGAGGTTACCGTCCTGACGAATGATGCTGAACGCAGCCAAGAGATTCCCACGGTTGAGGATTTGCAACGTGCAGTCATCAATCGCAAATGTTGTTGCAGCGAAACATATTCGAGCGTCGTGCCTTGGCCAACCTAGATTGGCTTCGTGGTGAGGAAGCACGGGAGGAACTGGACAACAGATCAGAGGAGTTGGCCACCGTTACCAGCAGGAAAGGCTCAATGCAATTGAGCATGTTGGAAAATTCAATGTTGTTATTCAACTGCTCGCGATTTTCGCACGTGCATGCAGTCCTTTCGCGCAGGACTGGCCGGTTGGCAGCTGCAGATGCTGTGCGGCTTGCTTCAGCTAGGTTGCAGGCGTGAGGTGCCGATGTGTTGCCTTGTTTTGCGAGATGTGGAAGGGATCGGTCTGAACAAAAGGGTAAACTTCTGTGAAAGGAACATATTTGCGCAAACCAAGCGAGCCATGCACATATCTCGACGCAGGCTGCCATGCTGATTGCCAAAGAGAAGTGACATGGTAGGAAGCCAGCTGCGACTCCCATTCAGCTGATATCAGCTGATGGCGAGACGCCTCCAGAGCATTGTCAAAAATGGCAGGCTCTGCTTATCATATTCGATCGAATACAACAATTTGGCTCAGTGCCAGGAACAGCAATGACAGAAAAGGCTCGGTGTCGTTCTGATGCGAACATCTTCCACCCATCATGGTCCGGTTTATACGGGTGTGGTTGGTTTTGGTTAGCCTTTTGTCTTGGCTGAGGGATTGTTAAACGAATGTGTGGGTGTGCATGCGCGTGTTTTTAACATACTGTTTGAGGTGCGTAGTTTTGCAGACACTATTTGTATACTGGGGCGGGGTGGGGGGGACCCCCGGAAATACCATATCCCACAAAAAACAGGTACCTTGTGGTAGTAGAGAATGTATGTGGTGGTCGCTGGATCTATTCTGCAAGAGAATCCACTCTGCTGCTCTTTTTTTGTAATGGCTGCAGAATGAGTACTGCGGTGCCTATGATACAAGAGGGGCCTTGAGCCAAAATGACAATGGTTGCTCCAGGGTCAACATGCGAAGCAAAAGCAACACAAAACAGATACAAGCTTCTTTTGACCCTGAACACCAAAATGGCATACTTGGCTTCATGGCCTTTAGCCGTAGCCATGGATATGGTGTGCTTGCCGTAGCCATATTTAAATTTGAATCATCCTGTTATCTGGCGCGGATGAACTGTCTTGTTGGCAAAATGGGAAATGCTTTGTACTGGTTTGGCGAGATACCTAATTGTATCTAAAACGGAAATGTGAAAGATACTTTGTACACGCGGGATGGTGTGAAACTATTGATCGCTCGCACGCATATTCTTGATGCGCAGGAGGATCAATTGATTGGAATTCGTAGTGTGGGTTCCGTGTGAATGCTCTCAGCGTGGATTGTAGTCATAGTATCTCATCGTTTCTGCGAGTACCAACGATAGCTGCTGTCGGATTGGCTTCCATGACCTCCGCCATAATCCTCCCATCCTTGATAGCCAGAGTGCTTCCTTCCTTCCTGGTAGGATTGGTCCCATGACTTCCATGCGGTCTCCTTCTTCTTCTTGTTCTGGATGAAATCCTTCTAGCGGTGGAGATTTCTTTCCTGATCAGCTGCGAGGCTGCGGACATATACCAGCAATGGGGTGTGAGAATCTGAGTCGCATTGTCCAAGCATTAGCATCTCATTGCTGATGTGCTTTTAGCTCTCGGCGGATGTGACCTTGTAATCGGAGATGACCTTGTCAACATCTTCGATCATGGAATCCATCGTCTCTTGGTCGAGCTTGGCAATCTCGGATTGACGGAATTGTCGTTGGATGTCGGTCTTCCCCCAACTGAACACGAAGGTCATCGTGCGATCTGGAAACGTCGGGTCATATCCTGAACCTGTCTTCACATGAAGATGGTGGCGGGCAATGGATTTGATCGTGCGTGAAGTCGACAATGTAAAATCCATTCGTTCCGCCAACGGCATGTCTTGTGTCTCATTCCAAAGTTTCTTGAACTTCTCCATGATGTAGTTCATGAGGCCGTTTTCAGGAGTGTAGACGGATTGCAGCTTGCTGAACGTGTTCGCGGATTTGTTGGCATCACCTGTGATCACGTCGCATTGGTATTCCGTAACGAGCGGCGTGACACCTTTCTGCGCGTCTTCTTTTGCTGCGCCGCGGCTGATGTTCGGATGGACATGGAACACTCCAATGGTGGCAAATGGAAGATCAGCTCGCGTAACATGGCGTGTGTCGTAGGATAGAACAGGATCCTTGGTGGATTTTGGAAGTGCTCCACGGATCTCATTGTTCTGCTCGATGTGGATGACGACAATCTCACAGTTCTTGCCATGCCATTGAACGGCTGCGCGCGGTGGCAATCTCTGTCCAACGTACTTCTCCTTGTTGATGAACATGGATGTTCCGGTGGATGCCAGGCAGTCGGATGTGGGAGTATCGTAGTCCAGATCAGTGTAACCTTCCTCGAGTCCGAAGAAGCATCTGAACATGCTGAATGTAGTACTCCAACATTGGCTTTTGGTTGACATGTAACGTGCCAATAGTTCGACTCTGGCGTGCTTGCCACCTCGGACCAAGCATGCCACGGGCTTGGATGACCATATGTTAAGTTTTACTAAGACTGAGATCACCCTTTTTGGCATGAGGTGACATGTGGGTTGTCACGTGAGTTGCATGGATTGGCATGTACAGTTTGGTTGCCATGGAGAAGATAATGAATCGACCGAATAGCGCAAAGTGTGGCTCAAAAGAGTTGCATTCGAATATCGACAGTTTCGATTCGGGATTGTTATTTTTACTCGGTCGCGGAGCTCCTCAGATCCTGCAGGGACTGGGTGAGCCTCCTTCGCAGGGCCAACAGGTAAGCCCCTAGATGGCGCCATGGGTTTCACGTGTGGTTTACTTGCATATTGGGTGCACGTTTCAGTGGAATGAATCTGAGAGATGGAGAAGCATTGCAGAACCTTCATGGCGTGACTTTGAGCGGCAAGATGCATTTGCA